TACTATAAGCTGATGTTAGCTAAAGCGACCATCAGCTTATAGTAGAACTGTAAATGCCAGGTCCGTATGGCATACTGACCTGGCCAGCTGGAAGCACTTTTGTAGGTCCGTATGACATACGTCCTTGGCAGCGAAAGGGTTAATGTCCCTTTAATGTAAACCTCTAATGAGAGGGTGAGGGAGGCTTCCATTTCTGATCTAACTAAAGCTAGTTATCTGGTTATGTTAAATGTGTTCCAGGTCATTGATTCAAAGGGGTCTATTTATAAACAATTTGCAAAGCCATTCACCTGTGAATCTCTGTGAATATTCATTTTCTGTGCCAATAGAGGCAAAAACAAACATTCTTAGTCTCTCCCCCCCCCCCCACACACAATCACACACCTCTATTCAAGCTTGGAAGTCAAATGTAGTGTAATATCACATTATGGTCACTAGATGGAGATGAGGAGCATAGGAAGTAAATGCTTATTTCCTATGCCCATCAGTTCCATCTAGATTAACTGGCATCTGGCATCTTTCTAAAGAGAAGTCAGCAATGGCAGTCTTTATGAAAAGTTTCCTTTAAAGCCTTGGTTCTCAAGTGGTGGGTCGTGACCCAAAAGTGGGTCGCGACCACTTGTTCAGTGGGTCGCCATATGCCTCTCACTTTTCTAGGTGAGAGGCTACTCAGCCTCCCCCAGGCGCAGGACTGTCCATTCTTACACTGAGCAGCCATTCAAAATATGCTGCCTGGAGCCAAATGTCGACTTGAGGTGGGGTGGGCTGGGGATATGGCCGCGAGGGAGCTCCATCCATACCTGCATTGTTCCTTTGCATGTCCTGTAGAGGTGCCTGGACTGGAGTGACATCAAATTCTGGCTCCCAGCTACTCTACAGGTGCATATGAGAGCTGTACATGCAATGCACATATGGATGGAGCTCCAGCACAGCACAGCAGCCCACACTGCCGTGCGTTCTATTGCAGTACGACTTGGATCACGACTTAATGACCGAGGACAAATGTGAGTCCTGAGGTTACACAAGTTGAGAACCACTGCTTTAAAGGATATCTGCAGCTGAAATTTATTGACTATACCTGCATATACATCCACAGGCTCTCTCCTCGGTGGATTCTGTTACCCTGACCTACCCATTTTTCTTTAGACCTGCTGGATGCAAGCTGGGTAAAGGATGGCCAAGGGACACCATGGAAACATTTTACAGCAAACTAAAAGCTGAGGTGACAAATTATGGTCTCAGTCTTTCCTGCATGCTGAAACAGTAAGAATTGGCCACTTACAGTATGTTTTTCTGTATTTCACCCCAGACAGACTCTTGGAGATTGAGTCATGTGAACGCGGGTTTTAAACTTTGTCCTAGTTACCCAGAAAAGGTTATTGTGCCTGGATCCTGTTCTGATGATTCTCTGAGGAAGGCTGCAGCTTTCAGGCAAGGACACAGGTTTCCAATACTTAGTTACTACCACCGAAGCAATAAAGCGGTATGTTACACAGAATGTTATTCTCATTTATCTCTAGATGACAGGAATTCTATATTTTTCCTTGTTTTCTCTTTCATTATCTTGGATGACTGAGTATGTGATGGTTTGAAGTATAATACAATTCTTGCAATCTAATGCTCATTATCATACTATTTTGGGTTATTTAGTACTATAGGAGGAATTCACTAAAGAATGTACAACACTTTTCTGGTGGTGTGGTCTCTTTATAACAACCTGCGTCTAATTCATGAAAGCCTGGCAACAGTTTCAGTTGTAGTTCTGATGGCAGTCCAACAAATTCAGGTAGCTCTTATTACTGCCACTTTAAAGGGTTATTAGGTTTGTGAGCTAGCAAGCAGTAGATATATGCAAAAACTTTAAAAAAACAAAACAAACCTTTTCAAACAGGTTTAAACTTACCTGTGTCTTCGCCGCACGCTCCCGACGGAACATCTGAAGAGTCTCGGGCGGCCGCAAAGGATCTTGGGGCGGGCGCATGCGCAGTTCAGATGTTCGGCCAGGAAATGAGGAGAGTCACAAGGTAAGTTTATGGAGCAGCGTGCACCCACACAGACTCCGTGGGACGTCAGAGTAGAGGAGGACAGAGGAGTCAGCGCTGGATCGGAGACCCGCACCAGCGCTGGAGGGACATCTGAAAACTACACTAAAGAATAAGATGATCGGATTAAAAGGCATGATTTAAGATAAGTCCTTACACTAACCAGTGTGTGTGGGGGCGGAATTATCCATTAATGTCACTTTACGGACCTGTTGCTATTGCTGTGACAGATTCAAAAAGCATTACCACCAGTTTACAGATTAGAAAGACCAACCGTGCAACCAATTGCACATTCTCAGCCCCGTTCAATTACTGGCTGGTAACTGAATGTAAAAAGGAGCCCGGGGATACTGACCAAAATCCTTACCCATATTTAAAGTAGCATTAAGGTCTGGGCGTTTTTTACCTTAATGCATTCTCTGCATTAGGGTAAAAATGGCCCAGCACCTTTTTTTCTACCTCACTCCGTCCCAGTCCCCTCCACACTTACCTGTTAGCAGCGCTCGTCCCCGCCCCCGGTCCGGAGAGATCCTCCATTTCCCGAACTTCTGGGTTGCGGGAGGAGGATACTGATGGCAGAGGAGCCACAGGATCCTTCTGCCATCAATCATAGAGGGAAGGGGCGTGGCCTGCCACAGGGCTGTGTGTGTCTATGGACGCACACAGCCACAGCGGAAACGAGCGGGCACGAGCGTGCACGGGTGCCTCCATTAGAACGATGGTGGCACCATCGTGCAGGGGGCGGGGGGAAGTGCGCTGCGGGGAGCCACTAGAAATCGACGAGTTAGGAACTTTTAAAGAATAAAATAAACAGCCTCCAGCAAAGGAGGGTCTCCTTAAAGGATAAACTCAAAATAAAAGTTAGGCTTTAATATAACTTTAAGTAATGATGTTAGCTAGCATCTACGCCTCTTTGTTTCCATTCAGCTGTCAACTAGGGAATCTCCCAGTCAGCAGCTGAATAGGGCCTTGGATCAGTCACTGGTTACTAAGACGCTGTTGGCTGCATAGTTGACAGCCTCTTAACAGCTATTGGTGCTGACAGTGGGTGGAGCCTGATGGGAAAATCTGAGAGACTAGTTCCCCATCAGATCTGCCTCCTTTGTGATTGACAGCAGGCAGTGGGTGCATTCCATAGCAAATAGACAGCCTGCTTTTTGGCTATGGAATTCGCCAGCTGCCTGCAATCAATCAGGAGCAGAGTGGACCTGAAAGAAAAGGTCCATTGGTATCCTCATCAGGCTCTGCCCGCTGTCAGCATCAATGGTTGTCAAGGACACTGTTGGCTCTGGCTATAAACAATAAAACTGAACCAGAAGGTTTTGGATATCATGGTAATTTTCCACTTAAGTTAATTTAAATAAATATATCAGTAAACAATACTAAACTGAAAATAAAATACAAAGCGCTGTTTCCCCATTCAATGTGTCCTTTGTGTCTTTGTTTCTTATCCACATTTTAACTCCACATTAAATTACATTTTCATCCACATTGCATTCAAAAACAAATATTAATGATAACAATGTTCTATAATAAAGTCCAAGTGTGTTTCAATTAGACCTTTATATCTTTCATGTTTAATTACACTGTGACTCCAATGAAACTGAATTTTTATTTCAATGTGCAGCAAAAGCAAAGCTGTGATCCACACGTGCACTGTCAAAATGAACCCTTTAGAGTGGACCTTAATAACTAATAAGGCCGAATGCTCTTTTTCCCATCAAGGGATTAATGCTACTCCTCAATGCCTCCACATCCTTCCTTAGGTGTAATATGGTATATCACATATGAAAAATATAAAAAGGAACTATAGTGTACCCCATAAAAGGTGTTATTAAAATAGATAAGATAAAACTCACACGCTCCATACACTGGAATCGGTGTGTATGGCAACATAAAACATAAAAAAGAAAAAAAAGTTCAGGATCAGAAGAATAGATGCCAGCATAAAACTTTGCAAACTTTACAGCCGTCTACTCGATCGATTCCTACCTGAAAGTGTACTAGTCTACTGTCCTACACGCTATGCACTGTCCTACATGCCACTGGTCTTTGTCTGGGACCTGGAACTGGGTGACAAGCTTACTATCTCTTATACTTTCCATGTTTAAACAACATCATAGCAACCCATTTTCTTACCTCATCTCAGGTTCGTTTAAACATGCTAGTCCTCTGTGTTATGCTAATTTAGTTGCCCTTCTTTGCACTCTTTCCAGTTGCATGACTTTGTTTTTGACTGGTGAACAAAACTCAATAGCATTTTTAAGATGAGGTCAAGTAATATACGTGAACACAACATCTCTAGTGTCGTTTTTGCCACTTCTTTATATTCTTCCCTGTGTTTTAGGTTATGTTGCGCTCTGCTCAGCCTCTGGTTGGCCCAACACATCGTAGGTGTGAAGAAGATGAGATACTGCTGAATGTTGCGCTAGCAGGGCAGTTATGTGGCTTTATCATCGACATTCGCAGTGAACATGATTCCAGGCAAGCACGAAGCATGGGAGGTGGCACTGAGAACAAGGATAGGTACCCTAACTGGAAGGTGCTTTACAGTCCGTTAGAAAGGTGAGTGAAAGGGTGTCCAGACACTTACCCAAGAAGATGATCAAGTAGACATCTGCCCATTGGCTGCATCATCAGAATCCATCAATGTTTCTAGTGTGACTTGCATTACAGACTAATTTGGCCCATAAGCAGTTTCTTCCTTCGCCCCATTGAGAAGAGGGAAGAATCAACCAGGTAGCATATAGTGAGAACTTCCAGTGATTGGTAGCTTTTATAACTTCTCCTTAATTAAGTCTTAAACAGCATTAATTTCGGACCATTTATGTCCTCCAGGAGCAGAGTAATTGTTCACATTATCTCCTTACTGAGGAACTTGTGTCTGAAACAAATATGTTTTTGTATTTTTAGGGGACGTGCTCTGCAGATTAGCCTGACACGGCTTGTTGCTGCTTGCTATGAACCATGTCTTGGAATAAACCGATGGCTTTCCAGGTTGCTGACTTCACATTGGATGACCCACGTCAGAGAAGCTCTGAGCACTGCAGGTCTGGCTGTTGAATGTATAGAGAGGTGAGGTGGTTGGTGCATAAGATAGTGAAGGCATAAATAAGGTGCGAACATGTGGTAGCTATGGTAAATAAAAAAGTTGAATTTAGGAACAGAGATGAGCAATACATTAATGCTATAAAAACTCAGGGTTTACATGTACAGTCATTATAGCAAAATAAAAATAAATCATGCTTTAAATAGACTGCCCAGGTTGTATTTGCTTGTTTTTATTTTACTATGATTATTGCATTAAGAACCTAATGTGTGTCAATTTGTAAATTGGCAATCATTGTTTCCTAGTGATCTTGTAAGCTTCTAAATAACTAGAAAAAAATCAGCTATTATTATTTATGAAAATATATTAAAGTTGTCATACTGGGTTAAATTGGTAGGCAAGGCTACTTCTTGAGATGATAAGTACATAGATAGGACATATTGATAGGGTGCTATATGCAGAGAATATCTTTATCCCCTATGTCATGGAATCATATTTCTCATTTGCAGAGACCATAAAATGCATTTTGCGGTATTTGGAGAGGAAACACCAATGAATGTTATAAGGTTAGCTAGTGCTAAATTTTCTAAGAATTATGTATTTTTCTACAGAGTGGGTACCTGTGTACTTGTTCATGGTGAGGAAGGTACTGACAACACCCTGCTTGTGACTTCCCTTGCTCAACTGATTCTATCCCCTGACAGTCGTACCTTGGCTGGTTTCCAGGACCTTATCGAACGTGAATGGCTACAGGTAACATAGGCTTTACTCCACACATATTATATATCCATTAGGGTGGAATTCCATCCAAACTACTGTTTATAGTTTTGGGGATAGTTAGATTCTCTTTTAATTTGTTTTTATTGTTGTCTTTGTCTCCACTGGACATATTTTCCAGTGATACCCAGAAAAATGTTTTCTTCAGCTTCCTGTTTCATGTGGTGTTTTCCATAGGTTCAACTGAAGAATTCACTAGGTTCTTGAAGCGTTGTCACTGGCTACCTAGAGGATTCTCCATAGGAATAGATGGAAAATGCATTCCAAAGAGGGGAAACATTAAAGAGCAACTGCCCTCTGGAAGCTGTGCCCAAATAAATAGCAGGCAGAGGGCAAATAACTAGTCTTGTTGTGCAATGTGTGTGTTTTGAGGCAGCCATCTTGATAAAAGCAGGACTTGGCAGAAGCAGCAAATCTGATAGAACTGCCCAGGGTATCATCTGACTGAAAGTGAGAAGAGACACCACAATAGAAATGTAGAGCTCTAACTCTCCCCTATCCGTTCAAAACTATAGACTAACACCTTCAAACAACATTACATTTAAATACCACACATTGTTCAACCACATTTCTTCCTTACAGGCAGGACACCCATTCCAGCTACGCTGCGCCCGATCTGGATGGTCACAGGAGCGCGCTCAACAGGAGTCACCCAGTTTCCTGCTTTTCCTGGACTGCTGCTGGCAACTTACTAGGCAATTTCCTAGGGCAATGGAATTTAATGAGAGTTTTTTGTGCATGCTGGCAACCCATGCATACAGTTCAGAGTATGGTACTTTCTTGTGCAACAGTGAAAAGGAAAGGTGGGTAAGGACAGATAGTGAATTAATATGTTTAGAAAACCTTAGTCCACTTAGCACAATTGTGCCTTTACGTTTTATCTACCACATCTGCTTTTCAGGAAAGTGGGGAAACCTCCTCCCAAGGCTCATATTCATTATACAAATTTTAAAGTGCACTGCCCTCCCACCCCAATCACAATATATTTCCAGTGATGTACAAAATATACAATAAATAATATCACAAAAACTTCCAATTTATAACATATAACAGTAGTTAAAAGAAGTCCACTCTCCAAGAACCACAATCTTGTGTATAAAATTTCAGAAGTCCTTAAAACGACACCATAGATGCTTATTCACAAAGTGCTCCCCAATCTGTACTCAGCAAACATCATTCTGAAATCCATTTACTATGGATCGGCGGTCAGGAGTGCTATGGGCACATGGACTTTAACAGATCCCTCATAGAGATACCTCTGATAGGTTAAAATGCAGCTAGCTGGAGAAACAAAAGCACCAGATTGGCATCCCACGGCATCACCAGAAGGCGTCTAGGGGGATACGCCAACAGCAGCTGATAAGGATGGCCAAGGCTTGCAAATTGCCTGAAATACCTCGGGATGCAGAGACCATTCCTCGCATTCAGCCATTGACTAATGAGAAAGTCTGCCTGCCAATTGTCCATGGCGGACGTTTTTACCAGGCCATAATCAGATCCGCTTCTCTTTAAGTGTAACTTCTGATTCACCCCTGATGATTGATGTATGCCGCAGCTGTGACATTGTTGGACTGGACCCTCCTCGGCCACCCTTGATGGTGACATGTCCAACGCTGGAGAGAGAGGGAAATTGCCTTCAGCTCCCAGAAATGTGTGCCATAAAATGGGCATGGAGGCTGCCAAATTACTAAGGTAGGAAGAATGAGGTACACCTGACAGGGCAATAAATGCATCAGAGGAAGGCAGAAAACCTGAAGGTGGATAACAAATGAATCGCTTGGAGGGGAGTATCCAGGGGATACCTCTGATACCTCCAGGCATACTTTGGACTTTTTGCATCGGGTGCTAAAATACCTTGTCGCAGCACTGATCTACGATAAATGAGATCTAAGAATATGAAGAGATTAGTACAATACAAGATGTTGGTGCCTTGGGTCAGATGAAAAAAAAGCTCATCCAACTGCACCAAAGCTTTGTAATGTATTTAACCGTCTTCTCTAATAAATGTAATATTTAAAGCACAATGGAGTTTATAATCACGACACAGTTTTAGGCATTTAGAAATACCAAGATCTCTTGGATGTTTCTGGTTTGCACCCAGCAATCATCTCACTTGTTATGCCATTTCCTGTGATGGTTCTTTAGACAGCAGACCACAGAACTGCTCCTCCCTAATGAGTCTGTGAAAGATCTTTGCTTGTTCAGTACTAAGTGTCTAAATACAAGCTTTTTTTTTCCTTTCTTCAAACTTGTTGCAGCAAGGGAATACAGAGTATAAATACAGAGTAAAAAACATTCACAGAATGAGGCAGGGAAATTAAGTACGGCAATTGCAGGGACATTGCTAAATATATGATCTGTGTTTTCCTCAAAGATAAAACAAATGTACAATTTGGCCAATTTCAGGCACTTGAAGCTTTTAACAATTAATTTTTTCAGCTTTTTTGTCTGTGTGAATGCCCCCTCTAGCAGTTAGTTGTATGACTACAACAGTGTCAAACATGACTCAGGTACAAGATGACTATTTATATATAGTGAAACTTAGTGGTAGCACTGATAAACTCAGGGTACATGAAGGTATAATGGTTTCAGCTTCCCAAACCTTCAAATTGGTTTGAAAATAGTGATATCCATGACTGAGTGCTTCTAAGGATTAAATGGTTGATGCTCCAACAGTTTGCAATCGTATAAATCACCATCTCTAGTTATCTAAATATAGGCTAACTCAAGAAAGAAATAAAAAAAAGTTTTTTGTCCATCCAGTCCTGAGATTTACGCACATCCCAGTCTAGCAGGGAAGGAAAGCTGATTTTTATCTGCTATACTTTTTATCTAAAGTAAAACAATTTTTTTTTAAAACCAAGAGTGGTCAATGTGGAAAAAGGGAATTTTTTTGAAAGTATTATTTTTTTCTTTTTTTACACATTTTTTTGTCAATAGTGTAGGAAATAACATAAGTTTGGAAGGCAATATCACCAAAAGAACACCTCATTTGTCCTATTAAAAAATATGTATTTCTTTGTTATCTTAAGTATTGAAAGTTGTCACCTTAGCAGAATTGTAAAAATTGCTATGATCCATAACGGGTATAAATACAGACCTGCAGTCATTTGTGTATTTCATATCTGCTTAGAGTTCTACATAACCATTTATAAAGCAAAGTTCACACATGACATTATGTCATATGAGGAGCAAAGATGAGGGATTGGTTTGCGATCTGGATAAATCCATTTACCGTATTTTGCGCTCCATAAGGCGCATCTGACTATAGGACGCAGGGAGGGTAGGGTTCTGTGACAGCTGAGACAGGTGGCGCTGTGATTACAGCTCCACAGTCTCAGCGATCACACAGAGCAGACCAAGAACGGGCGCTTCGGCTGCTCTAGGGGCTCTATGTTGAGCTCCTATACCATGGTTTTGGGTCCACCAGAGGAGCGGGGGACCCCGAAAACCACAGCAGGGAGGCCCTGGACATGATCACCGCTGCTCGATTTGATACAAGTGATCTGTTTAGAACCCACTGTATTAAACGAGCAGCGGCTCCTACTGTACATTTAGCTCTGCTTGTCTGGAAGAGGGCTAAATGTACAAAAAAACGACTCGCCCGGTGCCCGAAACTGCATGTCCTGGGCGTCGGGCAAGAGGGATTCGCTCCATAAGACACACACACATTTTTGCCCGCCTTTTGGGGGGAAAAAAGTGCATCTTATGGAGCGAAAAATTTGGTATTTTCTTTTAAGGAAACACAAAAACACGTAAATACCAATTTAACTAATCTTTGAAGAACTGTACCATTAGGTACAGGAACATATCACTCTACACAGACTTCTGTTCAGGACAAGTGAAACGTTATGATACACCAAAAAAGGTGAGATTTGCCAATCTTTAATTATGAGCATTATTTTCAACAGGTCTCTACATAAAGTCCGAGAACAGACTCATTCCCTTTGGGGATTTCTCAATAACTTTGCAGTGAGGCAAAACCTTCTGAATCCCATCTATGACAAAAACCCATTAGTCATCTGGCCATCAGTAGCACCACAAAGCTTACAACTGTGGGAAGGTGAGAACTAAAACAGAATGGCAACTTTTCTATGAAAATATTCTTTACATGCACTGAATTATACTCTCCAATATCTCTTTAGGTTTCTTCCTTCGTTATTTAATGCCTGCAGAACACAAAGAAATGGTCTGGCAAAGAATTCAGGAGCTTGTAGGTGAAGAGCACAAATAGAACTTTTTCTCAGACCCAATGGGGTTGATTTACTAACCTTATAAACACACCACGAACATGTATACACCTCTGTAGTGTGTTCCCTCCCAGCATGATCTATGGGTGGAATCTAAACACCTTTGTAGTGTGTACACACCCAGCAGGTGTGTTGTGCAAAGCCAAGCATGAATTGCAAGGTGATGTTGTGTAAATTAGCTCTATATGTTGTGTTGCTTGCGTTGATGAATGCAGGAATGTAAATGCATGAGCTAACCATTTTTGTCTAAACTGTGAAGCAGCATTATATATGCATCATGTGCATGATTTTTCCATATATGGCATTAGTGGAAATATGCTTTTAGAGACTTTTTGGTTGATAAATACGTTTTGCTGTGTGAAAAAAATCACACGCACCTGGTGCGTGCGTGTGTTTAGGTTAGTAAATCACCCCCAAGAAGTCACCTCTTAAAGTTCTATATTAACACTATGATGATGCTGACATTTCTGGAAAAGAACAGTTCACATATTCACAACAGATTGTGTTTACCATTTATTTATTTTATTTTTTCCCACAGCAGTGTAGTAATGCGATCACAAAGGTTTAATTTCTCTACAAATATGAGACAATTTTTTTCTTTACTTTGAAACCCAGTCATACATGGCTAAAAAACTCCTGTCTTTAGGGCCGGTTCACACCATCTCCATTGCGTTCCAGCATGGTTAGTGTCCGGAACACACTGGATCGTATAGAAGAAGCCTTCCTGCGTTCTGGGCGGGAGGGGGCACGGCGGTGTCGTTCAAGTCAATGGCACCACAGACACACACACCTGCCCGCAGTGCAATCTGCCACACCGGAACGCATGGCACAGCAATGGCTGCGTTCCGGTCCAGTGCGATCACAAAAAATAGTGAATGCACTGGACCAGAATGCAGGCATTGCTGTCCCATGCATTCTGGTGTAGGCAATCGCACTGTGGGCGGGGGGTGTGTGTCTGCTGTGCCATTGACTTGAATGGCACCACCACGCCGCCTCCTGCCCCAGAATGCAGGGAGGCTTCCACTATACCATTCAATGCGTTCTGGCCACTAACCGTGCAGGAACGCACTGGAGATGGTGTGAACCGTCCCTTATAGAGGAATATTAAACCTCATCTAATCCACACATGGGAAGGTGAGAACTAAAACAGAATGGCAACTTTTCTATGAAAATATTCTTTACATGCACTGAATTATACTCTCCAATATCTCTTTAGGTTTCTTCCTTCGTTATTTAATGCCTGCAGAACACAAAGAAATGGTCTGGCAAAGAATTCAGGAGCTTGTAGGTGAAGAGCACAAATAGAACTTTTTCTCAGACCCAATGGGGTTGATTTACTAACCTTATAAACACACCACGAACATGTATACACCTCTGTAGTGTGTTCCCTCCCAGCATGATCTATGGGTGGAATCTAAACACCTTTGTAGTGTGTACACACCCAGCAGGTGTGTTGTGCAAAGCCAAGCATGAATTGCAAGGTGATGTTGTGTAAATTAGCTCTATATGTTGTGTTGCTTGCGTTGATGAATGCAGGAATGTAAATGCATGAGCTAACCATTTTTGTCTAAACTGTGAAGCAGCATTATATATGCATCATGTGCATGATTTTTCCATATATGGCATTAGTGGAAATATGCTTTTAGAGACTTTTTGGTTGATAAATACGTTTTGCTGTGTGAAAAAAATCACACGCACCTGGTGCGTGCGTGTGTTTAGGTTAGTAAATCACCCCCAAGAAGTCACCTCTTAAAGTTCTATATTAACACTATGATGATGCTGACATTTCTGGAAAAGAACAGTTCACATATTCACAACAGATTGTGTTTACCATTTATTTATTTTATTTTTTCCCACAGCAGTGTAGTAATGCGATCACAAAGGTTTAATTTCTCTACAAATATGAGACAATTTTTTTCTTTACTTTGAAACCCAGTCATACATGGCTAAAAAACTCCTGTCTTTAGGGCCGGTTCACACCATCTCCATTGCGTTCCAGCATGGTTAGTGTCCGGAACACACTGGATCGTATAGAAGAAGCCTTCCTGCGTTCTGGGCGGGAGGGGGCACGGCGGTGTCGTTCAAGTCAATGGCACCACAGACACACACACCTGCCCGCAGTGCAATCTGCCACACCGGAACGCATGGCACAGCAATGGCTGCGTTCCGGTCCAGTGCGATCACAAAAAATAGTGAATGCACTGGACCAGAATGCAGGCATTGCTGTCCCATGCATTCTGGTGTAGGCAATCGCACTGTGGGCGGGGGGTGTGTGTCTGCTGTGCCATTGACTTGAATGGCACCACCACGCCGCCTCCTGCCCCAGAATGCAGGGAGGCTTCCACTATACCATTCAATGCGTTCTGGCCACTAACCGTGCAGGAACGCACTGGAGATGGTGTGAACCGTCCCTTATAGAGGAATATTAAACCTCATCTAATCCACACCGCCCGGATCAGCCTCCTGTGACAGCATGTCAGAGAAGAGAGCAGTACAAACACTCAGCGATCAGTGATCGCTGAGTGTTTGTACATAATTGAGGACATGGTATGTTTACTCTATCTTCAATTATGAATGAATGGGAGTGATCTACATCACCTCCTGTTCATATATGATTGTGGATATAGTAAAACATACTATGTTCTCAAGTTATGAATGAACAGGAACACTCAGTATAGAGGATTCCTGTTCATTGATAACAGGGACTTTATGTCCTCAATCTCTTTCTATTTTAAAAGGGAAATATCAGAGGTCTGTTTAGACCCCTACTATCTCCCCAAAGCCGCTAAAAAGTAAAAATATTTAATAAAAAATGAATACAAATATTTTAAAAATGTATAAAAAAATAAAAACATTTTCGGTATCGGTCTGACCATTTTTTTAATTTCGGTTTTAAAATTTCCATTTCGGTGCACCTCTAATATAAATATATATATATATACACATACAAAGTAGTTCACAGAAGATGGTTAAAAAAAAAGAGGAGGAAACATTGTCTATTTCAGTTCACCGGACGTTACAAAGACACTAGATTTCTGATTGGATCAACCAGTAAATTTCTGTATTTTTGTTCTGGAGTTTAGATATACAGTAAGAGGGTACTATGAAGCCATCTTGTCAATGTTAACTGCCATTTAGGGCCCATGCAAATGCAAAGCAGTAAGATCATACCCTAATAGGTTTTGTGTGGTACCCAATACAAAATCTTTTAAACGCTGACAGTCATGGATCTTCAGAGCCACTGTTACCCTTGCATAACCTATAGATTGTTGCACGCCTACTACCTCATTCTAGCATGGTCATATTTTATAAAGAACATGCAGAACCCCTCAGCTACTGTTGAGTGTTTTGCATTAACTAGAAATTCGGTAAATAAAAGACACATAACAAAGTCAATGTTTTGGTGTTATTTAATCCATTCTATACCATTTACATGTGTGTGTCATCTGAGGTCACTTGATTGCTAAATTCAAATATGTTTTTATTTCAATAAGTTTGAACATATCGACATCAATAAATAGAAGTGATCATGAGTTAAAAGTCATGCTCAGACTAATAAATGCTTTTCTCATTAAGATTTTTAACCCAAATTGTATATTCTACTCCAGGGACATATATACATTTGAGTTGAACAACACATTCAGAATGCTCCGAACTTGCTGGTAGGTGGTTGTGCAATCAATATATTGAGAAATTATGAAAAACGCTGATACAGCAAGGAATGATTTATACAGAACTTTAATAAATGAAAAGATTTAGGGGTCTAGTTATCAATATTTTCACCAAATATTCAATTGTGAAAATGTGTGAATCTTGAGTGAAAACATTAATAGAGATTTTTTCATCCAACTGCTTCCATTCTGACACTATTTTAATATTCAAACTCAAAGTCAAAATAATTTTGATCAAAGTAATGTATTCTGACGTATCCATCCTCTCCACCACTGCTGTAGCTGTAAAAAAAAAGGAGACAGAAATTGTCAAATTAATAAACAACATATAAACAAATATGACAGAGTATCGGCTAGGAAGGAGCTGCTCTTACTGACCACTTCAGAAAAGATCCTTTAGCAGTTTTTCTCCCTGCCTGCACACAGTTATTTAGTAAACGTTAAACTCCACAAAAAATATGAACCACTGTCTCTACTGGCTTAACAGTCAAGGCTGCAAGGGAGAGTGGCTCCAAACCTCACTCTACAATGTGCATTTTGGTTTTTAAAGCATTGTCGTCTATGGACTTTTTCAGCTACTGAATTTTGTACCCCAAAATCTAGTCCCACTTCAACACAATATGAACAGGCCCAAGATGATCACATGCATAAATCAATAGGTTTACTTTACGAGCAGAAAGTACTCAGCACTTATTATGGATTTAGGTCACTCATTTACACCACATCTTTCTCTATGCACTGTCCTAGGTAATGTGGTGCCTTCACAGCTCCTGCATACTGCAGCTGCACCACATATGTGCATATCTGTATATTATCAGAGTTCAGCTTTGAGACATGGCAACCATCAGCCACCCTCTCCCCCAAACAGATGTTGCTCATAGACCATCCATTGGACTGGCACCGCCCCCATATTACACTCATTGACCACCTCCAAAATGAAACATATAGACACCAAGCATCCCTTCCTTTCTGACCAGGCCACTCATGCACCTCCTCTTTCCCAGACAAAGGTCCCATAAACACCCTGCCCAGATTGATGATACCTGCACATGGCCAGAGATATGATCCCTATGAAACACCCTCCACTGATGACAACTGTATTACACAACACAATGATATTCTTTATTCAAAGTATTCTTACCTTTTACCATCTGGGTGGAATGCTAAACTGTTGATGGGTCCAAAATGGCCCTTCACTCTTCCAAATTCCTCCTCGATAGCAACATGGAAAAACCTGGTAAAAGAAAGCTATTAGCATCTGAGACTTTTTGCAAAATGATCTATCTGTCCCTTCAAAAGCTCTGCTCACCTAGCTTCA